CAGTGTAGGCATCGTTAGAGCTCAACAACTAAGAACTAATAATGGAAGGTCTCTCAATGGCGCTGAGCGCTTTCAGCTTTGCTTTAAAGATCGGGCGACGTTTTTTAGTCGAGAAGAGGCTTAAAGATGGCGACACAGCCAATAAGACGCTATGCCAGATCATCTTGACAGAAATTGATGAAGTCAAGATATTGCTCGAGAGACAAAAACAACTAAAACTCCGTGAGAGTTTGCACCTTTTTGAAGAGGGTATTGGGTATCTAGATGAAGTTTTAAGCAACGAGAGTCGTGACGAGAAAGAAATGAAAGGGCAAGCGGCGGAATTGAAAAACTATTGCCCTTGGACATGTGTTCTTGAAGCCGATTTGCTTATTAAAAATATTGAGCGTTTAAAAAATCTGCCCGACCAGGGAGAAGCAGCCATTAAGGTTTCGAAAGCCAAAGAGAGATTTCAGCAAGCCCGTGAGAAAGCAAGAAGTGCTTTTTGGAATGACAGTCTTTCAATGTCTGATATGGTTCTTGCTGCAAATATTGGCGTCACGTCCGTGATACTGGAGAATTATAGAAACCCCTGGATTGCAATGCAGGAGTATAAAACGTGGCTTAAACATTTAAATGGCATGAAAAGGGTGAAGGAGACTTTTAAGCGTGCAACTAAAAGAGGTGGAATTAGTGGCGACGACCAAAAGAACTGTTTCTTGGGTGTTTGCCACATAAATCGCGTCATTTACGAAATTACACAAATTGCGGTCAGTGGAGAAGAACAGTCCTGGATCTGGTCCTGTATTCAGTTCGGAGATGAGAAAGTTGATCCACTGCGCGATGCGAGACTTGCGCATGCTGAGCTGAATGTGAAGCATTACTGCTTAACATTGTCATTTGGCCAAAACCTTAAAGAAGACGAAAATTTGAAGTTTGCTTGCGACATCGCTGTCACCAAAGAAGGAACTTTCGTTATCGTGGACGAAGGTGATCAGAAAATTAAAGCTTTTGACAGAGAAGGCAACTTTTTGCGTTCTTTCTCTCCCCTTCGTCGTCGTTTGGCTGATCAAGATGTCTGTGGGATAACAACCGACCGTGAAGATAAGTTGCTCGTACTTATCAAGTTAGATAAATATCGCCATGAAATCTATGTATTTGATCAACGCGGTAACCTACAAAACAAATTTCGCCTGAGGGAAGGACTTGTGCGCTGCTCCCCAATCCTCAATGACAAAAATGAAATCCTTGTTCTCAATGAGAAACCTGATACGGAGCGATTGGTGGTAGAAGTGTACAAGGACTTGCAATACGTTGGCAGCCTGGAACTGAAGGAACCAAAAGAACAAACAGAGCCCAGCAAGTCTGGAGATACCGCAAAAGGATCAAAGGAGCGAAAAGATGCCTCAGAAGAGCCAGAAGAGTCCAAAGTTCAGAAAAAGCCAGAACATTCCAAAAGCACCAAAGACACAAAGAAACCTAGAGAGCCTGAAGATCTAGATGCAAAAGAGCAATTTAAGAAGTCCCAAGAACCCAAAGGCCTCACGAAAGCAAAAGACATTGCCATTACTGACAATGGAAGCGTGTTAGTATTGAACAGTGATGGTAGCGTGGACGAGTTGAAGGACGAGGTACAAACAGAGCATCGAAGGTTCAAAGGGATTCCATTAAAGGGAGTTCAAGCCATAGCGTTCCACTCCTTAAGCAAACATGTGCTAATCGCAAACAGCTCAGAAGGAATCGTGAACATCTCAGTGTGTGCAGAAGACGGTGAATGCGTGAACAGTTTTTATGCAGACAAAGACAGAAGTGGAAAGAAAGAAAGAAAATACATTGCACCAAGGATTGCAGTGACCGCGGAAGGACGCATCGCCGTGCTCACTGGGTTTGTGGGCGAGAGTAAAGTAATTGTTGTTTAGAGCACTTTTTGCTGTCATGTATCTTAGGAATTCGTATACTCTTTGCGATATCAAAAGACATACGGATTAGAAAAAGTACCAGAGTTTTACCAATGAAAAACGATTGAGAAGACTTAGAGTACCCAGTACATCATTAAACTATGTAAGATAAGATTTCAACATGTGTTTTTAACTTCTAAAACCTCGCACACTGTAAGTGCTAGTACTGTCTGATCAGTTTCCGTGTGAATAGCCGGTTGTTATTCAGTTTTGCAAAGTTTGGCGTCCGTCCCTTAGATGCAATTTTGCTTCGATCCGCCAGAAATGTAGTCACAGCAATCAAATGTTATCACTGTCAGTATGTTTACTCTTATCCAGGGAGCAAAATATGGATGCCAGGAAAGCAGTTTAGCTTCCGTTTATACAAAGGAACGATTCAAACTACTTCTGATCGATATCTCAGGAAGCGTTTTAGGATCTTGCCTTAGGATAAACAAATTCACTGGGTTTAATTTAAAACTGAATAGTTTAACAAATGAGGATACCTTGCTATGGAGACTGCA